TTCTTAACGAAATGAATATTTTTACCAAATATTATGGTTTGCTTTTTTTTGTGTTATTCGATTATGGCATTATTACAATCACATTTATAGTGTTAATGGACTCTCTTTTGTTATGTTACGAGTATTAATTAAAAATGTCATAAAATTTTAGATTTTTAACTCAAATTTCTACCATAAATTAGCGGTATATTTATTATGATAGATAAGAGCCATAATATTTACTCATGACTGTTATAATCATTCATATGGACATATAAGAATGTATATCATGTATCCATTCACACAAATATGTATGTATAAATATGAAATACAAATTTATGTACATTTTACTATATTTAATTTGAATGACTATAAAAGAAAATTTAAAATGAACGAAGTGTATAATGAGTTCGGTACATTATTCCATTGTTTCCATCAAAATTTGCAATTAAAATTTATTTGTTGAAAAAAAATTAGTATAACACTTAAGTTTAACATCACTATTATAACATATTTGAGGCTATAAATGTTAATTGCTGAATAGCATAGTAGTAAAAGGGTATTTGCCTAAAAGAGCGATTATAGAGTTTTTCGTGATCACAAAAAAAAAAATTGCAGATCTAGGAATAATTTTTCTAGGAAATTGCAGATCATGTTTTGTCAGTTTGTGCCTGTGGTACAACTAGCAAAGAATTGATCAAATTCGGATTTGGTTTAATAAATTCTAATAAGATATTTAAATATTTTGCATGGTTTAAACTTACCAGTGGGGGGTAATATTAGAAATTTTTTTATAAAAACCGTATTTTAAATTAAAAAATTTATTGGAAAGAAGCTCAGAGTTACTTGAAAGGTTCTAAAACGTGAAGTAAATTAAAAAATTCATTTTGAATATATGACTTTGAAAAAATAAATATCGCCAATTACGTAAGTTATGACGTGTTTTGAATTAAAACACTTAAATTCATATTAATAGTTTGGAAATATTAAAGAAATTATATAATCACAAAATAAATCAAAACTGATTTGAATTTTAAATATTTATTTTATTTACAAACTACATAAATTTCATGATTATTTGTTTTAATAAAAATTATCTTTTAATATAATATCTTCAATATTTTATTATACATACAATGTTTAGCAGAAGCCTCGTGAAATTTCAAATAAATGTACACAGTAAATTTCTCATTGAAATTTTAGTAGCTTCTTTAATTAATATGCTCACGTTTAATTTAATTTTAGAGAACTGATTACAACAAGAACATTATTTTGAGATTAGTTACGTTAGATTAATTACTGTTAAATAACGTTTTAATAAAACGCACGATAAATTGTATTTTCATATATATATATAAATTTATGTATGTAAATATACATACATACATATATGAATAAATTTTGTATAAGAAATATTTTTGCTATTTTAAAGGAAGATTTTTAAGGCCGGAAAAATTATGATGTTTTCCGTTGATAGTTTTGTCAGTTAAAGTTGTAAATTACTATAATTACATTTTATCAGTGAATCTTAAAAAAATATTTTCGTTGAAGAAATGTGGAAAATGTGAGGAAAACATATTAATATATACATAATAAGTAAGTAAAGACAAAATTACTAATATACCAAAAATGTTAACACATATTACGTTATTTACATTTATTTTGGGTTTATAATTTTCGCGGAACCTGAATTTGGAAGGCCTGAGAATTGGTTTTCTTAGTTTTGTACTGGCAGCTGACTTACTGGGTTTTATTTTAAATTAATCTTTGGAATTTCTTTTGAGGTGTTGATTCGTTCGTTTTTGTCTTAAGTTTTGGTCAGCGTTTTAACACAACCAATTCTATTTTAGAAAGTATCTTTGCAAGTTTACCCTTGATCTGAGTTTTCTTGTCCACTCGTTTTCAGAGAATGTCGATAGTTTTCGTGATGGCTTCCTGAACATGATTTACATGTTCGCAGAATTTTCCCATACAATAGAGAAATAGAAAACGACGAACAAGGAAACAAAGCTTTGTTGCCGTTGGTTTTACGGAGTATAGCACGTAAAATGTTACTAAAATTATTTGACGTATGCTATCAACAATACATGTAACAGGTAATTGTCGACCTTAACATGATCGACAAAGCGAATGACATTTTTGGCGAATATAAATTTTTCGTACTATGATTGGAAAATTTGCAAAAATTTTAAGCGAATAATAGGATCCTAAGACAAGCTGGCTTTATAAAACTAAAAGATTGATATTAAATTTTTCTTTTTTGGAAATTAGTTGTACATTATTCTACTTTATATTAGAACCTTTGGTATTTAGTTTATGATTGAAGTAAAGTTAAATAACAAATAGAAATTTTTCTTCATGAAATTATTTATAATATTATTGTCTTTTTTCATAGTGTTGACAAATATGTGCCTAATTTTGAGACGTTTAACTGCTATTCAATTTCGAATGATTAATAATATTGTTTAGTTGTGCATTTTCATTAAGCCTACTATATTTACATAATATTTATTATTTTATGTACTAGATAAACAATATCTACATAATATACTCGTTCAATTAATATATTTCAATTTATAAAACAATTAAGTTTTTTTTTTATAGGATCGACTAACTATTTATTGGAATGTAGCCAAAGTATTATTGTAAAATTTAATATTTATAATTTTATAACATTTTTGAATGCAGAACAAAAATGTGATGTGAGGCTCATAATTGAATAGCTACAAATAAGCTTTCATATAAATATATTTAAAGTGTTTTGCGGTATTTATTTTAGAAAAATTAAAAGTTGTATATAATGTATAAATATACGCATATATAAATTTAAAGTGTTCTGACTAATGATATAATAAACGTAGGTATTAATTTACAATTTCACTTGTTTTAGAATTAAGTGATTATTATTTAATTATATGGTTATAAGAAAAATTATTTTGATAAAATATTTAAATACATTAAACTTGTGGAAAAATTTTGTAAAATTATACAAGGTCTTCGATTTTATTTTGAATGTGGTAATCTAGATAATTTTATAAAAATGGCTATTAACTGTTAAACCCTGATGAAAAAAACCCCTTCTAATTGTAAGGTATACTTTAGTATACAACAAGAACCGGTTAATTGCAGAACAAAACCGAAATAAGAATTATCTGTTTCACAATGAAATATTGGACATTTGAAACCATCAAATCTAAAATTATAGTTTTAAAGCCCAAAATATTTACCATAGCAATCAACAATATTTCACACTTTCTTATATTTCTTTTCAAATCTCTGTCAACTATAAATTTGTCTTCAAATATTGAATTAAAAATGTGAATAAAATTTGCTTTTAAAATTTTTAATTGTGTAGTGAACATAAGATAAAAAGCCCTATTTGTTAAACACAGTTTTATTACAATCAGAGGTGACACGCTTAATGACAAAAATTTTGCAATCATCCGGGCTTTACTGTTAATTATTGCATATTATTGTGCGAAAGCCGCTTAACTGCAATAAATTTGTTGATTTTTAGTTTTTCAATTATCCGGGTTCTATTTATACAGTTCATTATATAATGAAAATATACGTTTTACTGTTAATATTCGTTTAATGATTTTGTGAATAACAGGATATTATAATAATTAATATTTTAAGCTTCTAAAAATTTCAGAATGAAATGTGAAATTATTAAGGTACTCTTATTTCCTATACGTTCATCTCGGATTTTCATAGATAATTTATTAAAAATAGATTAATAATATTAAAATTACTTTATTTAAGCGACATTAAATTATGCCTAGCTAATGCGTTCACGCAATTCAAATATTAATTTGTATAATTTGAAATTAAAATTAGTTATAATGATCAATTTGAATTTAATTATACACGATTATAACATTATTAAAATTGTGATTTAAAATTAATTAACATTATATACAAATATTTACAATCAAATAATTATTTTAAAAAATTTATTCAAGGCGTAGTAAAAATACTCGAAAATATTGTTGAATATAAAAGTTTTTATTAAATTACTGAAATTTTGAAAAATTTCGTGGAATAGGTCTATTGTATTTTAGTATAAAATGCGTTTTCATTTTGTATATATATTTGTTTCCATTTTTCCCTGGATATTCTGAATAATAGTAAACTACTATTAAAATTAAAAACTATTATAAAAATTTCTTCCATTTAAATTCTAAGGAACATTTCCCTTACATTAACCCTTAGGTACTTTTACAGGCCCCATGAGCAAATCTTTAAAATTGATATAATTTTTATTTTTTTGTTTTGGCGGCAAAAATTTTTGCATTTCCGAATAGCTCAATGAAATTAAATTGTTTAACAAATTTTCAAGTCACTGAGCGTACTTTACAAAATAAAATTTATTATTAGTATTCAAAAGGCTAGGTATTTAATTTATTTGAGTAATTTTTGGTAATAAAAAGTACAATATATCTTTTAACAGAACCTTTTCGGCTTTTATTTTTATTTGTCTTGTCCCGGTCCTTATGGACGACATCAAAATTAGCGCGTGTATAGGACAATAATTAAGTGTAAAACCAAAAAAATTTTAAGCTACAGCAATACTCTCAAACATTCATATGTTTATTATAACTTTTAGCATAAATTTAATCTTAAAAACTTTATTATCTACTTGTATATGGAGAAATTCTAAAAACAGCAAAAAATATCAAGTATTTGACTTTGTTAAGTTGTAAATAACGATATAATTTGATCTATATTTAACCTTCTAAAGAAAAAAAAAATACACTTTAATAAATCAAATGTATATTGCAAAAAAAAAAGAGAAATCAAACCCCCAGGTGTTTTCTGTTAAATTTACAAAAAAAAGCTCGATTCATAAAGAAATTAATGACAAATTCTACTTGAAAGAACAATCAACTCAACTTTAATCATCTATAATCATCTTTTGTTATGTTTTGTATAACTACTCTAGTTTTTTTAATTTTACTTCTATACATATAGATATAATATTAATCTATATATATGTATATATTTATATTTTATAACAGATCTCGGAGTTACATTCGATTTCAAGGCTATCACAAGCAATGGAAAAGAAGCCGAAGGTCACTGAAAGAATAATTATAGAACGTGTGACTGAAAAGGATGCTGTTGAAGTTATTGCACTTTTAAAGAAATTCTTTTTCAAGGTAATTTTATATTGTAATAAAAGGGAATGTTATTAATTCTTTTATATACAGGGTGATTCAGAAAGATATACAACAACATATACCATTGGTTAGAGGGTTGAAAATGGGTAAAACTTTTGTTCCGAATTAGGTGCGAAATCTTAAGGGTTTTCGAGATACAGGGGTTTTAACGAATTTTCACGAAATTTCTAGTTATCTAAGCTTTTTTGATTATAACTTGCGTTCCGAAAAAGATAGGGGCTTCAAACAAACAGTTTCTGAAAGGTCTAGTGAAGGGCTTAAAATAAACACCTCACTTTATTGTGTATTTTGTGTACTTTCGGAATACCAATCATTCGAACTTTACCAAAAATAAAAATTTTCCCTTTTTTTATTTTTTCAGTCTCTTTTTACCAGGCAATTTCGTTCGAAATTTTTTTTCGTCTTTTTCGACTCCAGAGCAAAGGTTTTATCCATTTTCGACCCTCTAACCAATGGTATATGTTGTTGTATACCTTTCTGAATCATCCTGTATACAGAGTTTCACATTTATTTATATTAATAATATAGAATTGTTTATAAAAAACTTCTTATTAAATGTAGACTCTGGGTCTAGATTTAAACGAAAATTGTATATAAGAAAAAGGAAATATAAAGCGAGTTCATAAAAAAACTTTTGTTTTTCATATTACGGTTAAAACTATTAAAAGAACAATGTCAAATTATGATAGCAAAAAAGATAAAGATAAAAAATGTTTTTTCTTTAACATTGGCATGTATTGGCATAATTCTGCTATCTGATACCGCATTGTGAATCCTAAAATAGCCGTAATTATTTCAATTATTTTTTTTTTTGTTTTTGGTGGTTTAAAGCATAATATGTAATTACATATCAATTTATTCGACCGTATATTTTTTAGTTTGAGTGATTTTGTTTTGCCAGAATCACAAACAAGTTAAAGATTTTCTTGAAAATTTTGTCAGATGACTTATTCAGACAGTTTTAATTGCTCAATTGATTCAATGAGAATGTGAAATTTTCAATGAGAAAGTAGTACAGAAATTGTACAGAAGAATTTGGCCAGGGATGTACTTTTGCTTTAGAAAACTTACTTGATTAAAAGTTAAAAACAAGATTAAAAAAAATGGCACTAAAATTTAATTAATTTTATTAATATAAATTATTTTTAGAGCTCTGTAACTAAGTAACAGTAAAATATTATCTATACGAAAGAAGAAAAAAGCCAACATATGGTATAGTCTATTCCAATTTTAAATGTTTTTTTTAAATTAGTAAACACGTTGGATTTATCTGCTGGTGAGCTACGAACTCGTATATGCTCTGAAGAATTTTTAAAAAATAACATAGAAAAATGATGACATTTTACGAATCAATTAATTAACCTACAATTTAGGTTTGATATTAATAAAAAATTTTAAAGGATTGAATTAATAATTAATTTAGTTATCTAATTATAAATTTTTTAATTAATAAAATTTTGACAAGTAAATTATTTTAATTAGTAAAAGTACAACAATTATTTTGATAAATCGCGTAACATTACCGCATTTTGATTAATTTGTGTTTTAGTAATTAGTATTAATTAGTAGTGAGTACAACAAATTGGTATTAATTATCCTTACTTTGAATTTCTTAAACTGTTATACCATAGTTCATGACATTATTATAAAAATGTTATATAACCTTTTTATGTTTACCTTATAATTTTATAATGGCAGCTTTTTAACTAAATTTTGCATATTTAACGTATGTCTTTGTTTCTTAGCCGTAAAAATTATAATTTTTTTTTCATCGATATTTACAAATACTATAAGAAATTTATGTACAAATTAAAAATTTTTTAATATGCCAACAATTCTTAGTAAATAAATTAATCCATTTTCGGTTTTTCGATAATTTAAAAATGAAAATTAATTCAATTAAATGTGTGAAATACACATATAATTTTGACATACAATGTATCTGAGCACCTTCAGAAATAAATTTTAACGTTCTTTAAATTTTGACGTGGTTTAATTAACGTATGACTATCCATTTCCAATATTGCTTAAGGGAAGATAAAAAGTAAGTGCAAAACATATTATGACGACATTTCGAAGATAAAGAAATATCAAACCTAAATTCATGGAAAAACATAAAATTTTTGAAATAGATTTTAGAGCTTTACTATATTGCAGTAAACTTTGGCTAAAGTATATGTTCCCGTGAGTGATAACGAAAAATTAAGTGTAACTGAAACGAAATATTCTTACTATGCAATAAATTTAATCTTATTTGACAACCTGAATTCTTATTTTTAAAAATTTACAATTAATTAAATATGTGACCGCAACCGCTTTTAAACTTTTAATGAATTCACGATAATTGCAACCGCAAAGAGGAACACACCTTATCTCAAGTAATAATAAAAATATTTATTATTCAAGAGTTGTCAAAAATTATTATTGTAGGTATATATATATGTATATATATTGTTATTGTAGATTTTTACGTCATTCTGAAAAAAAAAATTTAATTAGTTCTGGTTTAGTACTTGTTCAAATTTGAGTAAAAAAACAATTTTAGTTCAGAATTAATTGCATAAAAAAAAGTATTTAGAATACTGCTGATTTTAATTGACCTTCAACAAAAATATTCGAAATAATTCGGAGTTTTAGAAAATTGTACTTATCACAGAACTGAATTCAAATTATAACACTTTTGAAACATATTGACAACATGACATTTATGATGCATTGTCATGCCAATTTTAACAATTAAATGTAGAGAATAATTATATTTAGTTAAACATGTCATAGATTATACTTTTGATAAATGTAGAAAATAGAGCCAGGTACAATTCTAACTTATTGGGCGCTCTACACGGTTTCCAAAAAGTGCGTGCCCCTTCAAAACAATAAACATTATGGAATAAACATTGCACATTGAGCACAATAAATCACTTTCTTGGAACTGTTATGATACTGAATGCGAGATAAGTCATAGAATTGGAGGAATAGAAAAAAATTTGAAAAAATTTAAAATTAAGTTTGTTTTTAAAATTTCATTGGCGCCCCTATTTTTCAGAGCATTAAGTGCTTTCTTTGTTGTGTGGTAGATCCGACACTGAATAGAACACAAAAACAATTTGTATTTTAATTATAAAATTTTCAATTTTTGAATTGGAAGGTAATTTTGTGAAATCGCATATAAGAAACCGTGCCTAGTAACCTTATCTAAGAACAATTGCCTCATTTAAGTACAAATTCTTTTGCTTTAACAATAATTTTATAAAAAAACAATTTTTTTATTTCAATAAATTTTCACGTACGTACTTATGCGTTATTAATTTGATTTTTTTTTTAATTTATGCAGGATGAACCTTTAAATAAAGCAATTGATTTAGGTGAATGCAAAGAGTTGGAAGAATATTCCTTAAAATGTATACCTGATAAATGTTCCTTTAAAGCTGTGAATACTAATGGTAAAATAATTGGAGTCTTTCTCAATGGAATTTTAAAGAAACCTGTAAGTATTTTTTAATTTAAAAAAATTCCAATCAGATATAGATCAAATTCATGAAATATGTAGCTTAAAAATCCAAAAACTAAATAAATAAATGCGTCTATAGTTGTAGGATTTGCGTTTAATGAATTTTATCATATACACACCTCATATTGCATTTCTTTTCCAAATCAAATAATAAATATATATTTCTTCTACTTATAGGATCCAAATGCAGAACCAATCAGTTTAGCTGAAAAATGTGCGCACAAAAAATTCAAAATTATTATGTCACTAATGGATTATATTGATTCTAAATTTAATATATTTGATTTATATCCAAATGCAGATACAATATTAGATGGTAAAATTGTATCTGTTGATGATGAATACCGAGGTTGTGGAATTGCTGGACAATTAACTGAGGCAACTTTGGATTATTTAAAACAAAATAATATTCCTGTAATGCATGTAATGTGTTCAAGTCATTTTTCGGCAAGAGTTATGGAAAAATTAGGTTTCCATGAAGTTTACAGTCTTGATTATAATGATTTTTTAATAAATGGAGAAGTAGTATTAAAACCGGAACCACCACATAAGAGTTGTAGAATTTTAGTAAAAGAAGTTTAATTTATTAAATTATATATATAAAATTATGTATATGTCTATATACTTATATACACACATACTTGTATAAATATTCTATTATACACATTTTAATTAATAATATGTATTAATTGTATGACATATAGTTTTGTTGTTTTTTTTTGTTTTTTAATAAAAATATTATACAAAATTATTATTTTTAATACATACATACATAATGTGCATATAAAATTTATTTTATAACTGAGACTTTGTTTGATAATGTTAAAAAAAAATTGTATAAATTTTTTTTTATTATACAAATTTTTAAAAATAAAAGGATTGTTTTATGTTTAAGTATTTTAAATTAAAAAAAAAAATGTTGTTTTTTTATTCACCTGTATTTTAAGCATCTACCGTTCTTCTCCCTGATGAAAACGAAGACTATAATTAAGAATGCCGTAAAATAAAAACCAACAAGGGGCCACAGTTTTCATTTGGTTAAAAATGAAGTTTTATCCTTAAAAATGTGAAATTCAATTCTAAAGAAAAAAAGTAGCCTAACACTGAATATTTATGAACGAAGTAAATACCAATGCCATTTTTTAACTCTTTATTGCAGTGAAACCACAAGCATTTTTCAAATTTTTCAAACGTAGAAAGACAATGGCTTGCTTCTCCTATCGTGGCATACTAAAATCAAACTTTAAAAGAACAAAATGGCCGTTCAAATTTACCGTTACCAAAAACCCGTTTTTTCCAAATTTTTGAAGACGTTTTTCTTCTAGACTCCAGGCTCTAGGAGCCCAAAATTTAAGCAGCTTTTAGACACTAATAATTACTTTATTTCGTTAGAACAAATTTTTCTCCATCTCCACCCCCTCTCAAGTTATCGTCTCTTGAAATTTGTAAAATTTGAATTTTTGACGCCTTATATTTCCGAAACCGCAACCGTTAACGCAACTATAAACGCAAAAAGTTAATGCTAAAATCCATGACATTACAAAATATAATTATTTTTCACAATTAACGCAATTAACCCTTAAAAGCATTATGTTAACCCCTTTTTATATTAATTTTTGCTTTATTTCAAAGACTGCCTAAATCGTTCATCCTAAATATATGCAATCGTAGAAATAGTTTCGTTAGCCGGATAACTTTTCGATATAGCCCCCCCGAAACCCTAAAAAGGCAAATTTTTAACTACTAATTGCTGCGAAACTATAAGCATTTTTCAAATAATTAAACCTAAAAAAAATGGCTGTTAAAATTTACCGTTGTATTGTACCGTTATTTATCTGTTTTTTCCAAATTTTGATATCGTTTTTCTTTTACATCTCAGTTTGTAGGAGTCTGAAATTTAAGCACCTTTTAGAAATTTATTCATTTCTTCTTACATTTCGTTTGAAGAAATTTTTCCACTTACACGCCTCTGTCGCCTTTCAAAATTTGTAAAATTTGTATTTTCGACACCATATATTTCCAAACTTTTTCAAATTTCTATAAACACTGAAAGCTAACGGCAAATTTCATGACATTAAAAAATACAATTATTTTATTTAACTCACGCAATTAACTTTTGCATTCGAGCATTAACGCTTCTTTAAATTTTTTTTGCTTTGTTTCAAAGATTTCATACAGTGCTCATCCTAAATGTAAACAATCTTTGAAATATATTCGTTTATGAATGAAAGTAATTTTAATAATGTATATTAGTACACAGAAGGCATTATTTTCGCATGCTAAAGGGAAAAGTGCTACATTGAAAACCATTGGTTTACTACAACTAAAAAAGTTTTATATCACAACATTTTACGATTTTAATTTTTTTAAAAAATAAATAACAAAGTTCCGCTTAGAAAGGGGCTAGCTGGATTAATTACTTGATTGGCTTTGTCCTTTTCCCAACGATCTAATGATGTAATGTGCATACTTATTTTTTATAAAAATTTGAAATTTTGACATTCTTTTTATTTTTAATGCTGTTTTGTTTGCTCTCTTCCCCTGAAAAGTTGAACTAAATGTTACATTAGGTAAGAAATTTTTTAAAACGTCAATTTTATTTTCTACATCCATAAGCACACCACAAAAAAAATTTAAACATAGTGTAACAAAAAGCAAACAGGTTAGTTTTTTAGACTAGTTAATCGTAAGTAATTCTTTATACTTCGTTTTTATAATGTTTCGTGGTAAAATATAAATGTGACAACGCAAAATTAACACAAATTTCTCTCTCATTTTAATTAATTTTGTCCTATAATTAAATTATTGGTTCAAAAGTGAAATAAACAAGAGGCGAGAATTTAAGTGGTAAATGCTCAAATTTATTTGCTTCCATAAAAGGTTCATAAGAAATAAAATCAATTTTGTTTTGGTAATAAGCTTTTACCAAGTGTCTTTTTTATGGAGTTTGACTGTATATACGTAGATCATTATTTCTACATAAATATATCATATATGTACATATTATGTCACAAGAAACACATCAATCGAAATTTATAAAAAACCAAGACATTAAGCCTCTTAATCTTGACATTCATTTAACTTTATTTTTAAAAAAATAAAATAAAACAAGTAGACAAAAAAATTAAGGCACTTAAAAATCAAAATTAGTGGTTGGTTATACTTTTGTTTTTTTTTGTGGTATTTGGAGATTTTTGGTATTTTTTTATTATTATTTTTATTAACTTAAATTTTAATTAGAAAGCAATTTTACTCTTATCCTTTTTCTGTGAATAAAACTCCCAAAAACAAAACAAAAACTTGTTATTCTTAGAGAATTACCAGTTTTGTTGGCTTTTTTTGCTATAAAAGTCTTAAATAAATTAAAATTTTTATAAAATAAAATTAACGTTTATTTGCACACAATACGTGTTAAGTTTTAGGGAAATATTTTTGTTGTTATGCAAATAATAAATTTAGATTTTATCGCACTAAACAAAAAATTTAAGAATATGAATTTTATTGCCTTTTGGTTTTTTTTTGAAAATATTTTAAGAACATTAAATTGTTTCATTTTACTTTTCAATTCTATATATACATATATATATATATATATATATCTAGAACACAAAGGCCGTTCTTTTAAATGTAAGTCAAAAATAAAATTCAACAAGTAAACCATTGTAAAAGAACCGGTATTTTAAACAAAGTACCATAAAATATCTTATATAATTCAATTATGACTAATATTTTAAAAAACACATGATATCCTTTTACAAGCTACATACATATGTATATATGAATTATAAACTAAAGCAAACAACTGGTTTAAGTTTAAAATAAAAATAAATCAAAATTCATTTTCTTTTGTACCCACAATTGAGAATGCTTCAAGTCTTCTCAAATCATTAAAGGTCTTCTACTTTTAATATCACTACTACTGTAATTTATTTTAGAGTTAAGATACAATAACAAGTAAAAACGTTTCAGTCGGTATAAACCGATTGAATTATAGCCTGCACCTTTCGTTGTTGTATAGCAATTACTCAAACCTCTGAAACCATTCTATAGAAACTTCACGGATGTGTCTGACCTATAATTGGACACCCGACTGCCAAGTTTCGTGAATCAGACTTTATTATATTTCCAAATATTTAAAATAAGTTTTTAGACTTGTATAGGAGCTACTCGAACCTGTCAAGCAATTCCACTAAAACTTCACAAATATGTCTGACCTGTAATTGGATACAAGACTGCCAAGTTTCATTAATCTGACTTCATTTTTTTTCCGTATATAAAAAATTTGCTTTTGCAGTTGTATGGCAGCCACCCAAACCGGTGCAGCTATTCCATTAAAATTTTTAGAGCATATGTATAATATAATTGGACACATGTATACATAATTTTATAGTTATACCTTTATTAGTTTTTGAAATATTTTAAATAATTTCTTTAAATTGTATGGCAGCTACCAGAGCCCGTAAACCAAATCGGTTAAATTACAATAGGATACTTCCGTGTCAAAAAAGAAACAAGTTGTGAAAGTTGTGGTTAATCCGTTTTTAGGTTGTCGTATTTGATCGGACGGACAAGGTATAATTTTGTATACTCTTTTAATTTGTTATTTGTTTACTATCTTTTTATTTGTTTATATACCTTTTTTGATATATTATTTAATTGTTTACTATTGTTTTTTATAAAATACAGAATTGCTGCTTTTTTAAGACCAACAGGTTTCAAAAATTCAAAAAAAAATTGTAAAACACATCAATAAAGTTTTAGAAAATTTTGAGTTCAATTGTTGATATTTTAAATAGTCATAAAGTTTATTAACCTCAAACAGCGTTAATACTTAATAAATGAATACAAAAATATTCAAATACAAAAAGAAAAATATTTACAAAATTTTTTTATATTCTATACTGTTCTATGTAGCCATTTAATTTTTGTAAATATAAGTGGTTTATAACTTCATTCACTCATAGAAAAAATTTTAGTGCCTAAATTAAAATTATTATTTTTGACTTCGACAATATTTAATTTGGTTGCAAGAATGTTATAATGTAGAAGATTTTCTTTTCGTCAAATGTATACCTTCGACAAAAAATGTAATTATGGTTATAAATTTCAGTTAATTACTAACTTACCTAAAAGTAAGTGTTTACACAAATTTTTTGATAATAACTAGCCAAAACAATAATATTTATATTTCTACACTTAAGTGTTAATTTTATTCCTGTCTAATAACTCGTGTCCTTAAAATACATATACATATATACTTATATATTAACTAACCGCCAGAAATTTAATTATTCATTTTTTGTGTTAACTGGATTAAAGCGGTTTTCTTATTTTTAAAAAGTATAAACAAATTTATTATTTTCTTAAGGTAAGCCCCGCAGATTTTTTATTTGTATATGTTCAAAAATTAGAAAAGAATTTTAAGAATAAAATTTTAATGTGTGGTTTTATAAATAATTTATGCAAACAAGTTTCTTAAATTTTGTATTATTAATTATCTTCGTTAACTTTTTTATTCTTTATTTTGTCGTAAAACATTGTGACTCACTAAATTCTAATCCAATACATTAATTTTTTATACCCTTATCGAGATACACTCATCTTAAAAAAAAAGCTTGCATTTTGAAATTTCAATATATTTTCATCTTATTAACATTATTGATGTCAAGTTTAACGATCAACTCGTGTTCTATAATTAAGTTGAAGTTAGGTGTATTGAAAAGCACATATATGCACCTTACCCCCATTGATAATTTTACAAATGTAAAAAGAGACAAATGAAAACAGCTTTATTCACGAAATTTATTTATTTGCTATACTAGTTTA